CAACCACAACAACAACAACAACAACAACAACAACAACAACAACAACAACAACAACTTAAACAACAACAACTTAAACAACAACAACAACAACAACAACTTAAACAACAACAACAACAACAACAACAACAACAACAACAACAACAACAACACACACACACACACTCTCTCTCTCTCATCCACGCCCGTGTCCCCCGCCCATTCACACTCGTGTTAGCTGAGGATGGGTGCTGTCGCCGCCCCTACAAGCAATGCCCGGCCCATCTTGCTTGGCAGTTCTCCCGGCTTGGCCTCCTCTCAAAGGAAATCATTGCAGAGGTGCGCTGGTCTTTTTTTGTTGTTATTGCCTGATGTTGCACCTCTGGCGCGTAGTTTCGCTTGCATGCAAGGCACCCATGCTTCAAACCCGAAGCCCCTGCTCCTTGGCTTTGGTACTTTCCGCCTTCCTCAATGCCACCTCTCACGGCAAAACACCACACGCTGCAACACACGCTGCAACACACGCTGCAACACGCCGTGCAGTCGCACCAAGCCGAGGTTGCTGCACAGGAACTTGACCGCTGTACCACCCGCCTCTCGCAACAACACCTGCTCATCGTGAGTCACACTGTGTGCGTGTGTGTGTATCTGAAAGTGCGTCGTGCGAGTCCACTGCTTGCTTACCCCCACTTCCTCGTGTTCCTTTGGCCTTCTTGTGGCCGCCTTTTCTTCCATTTCCCATAACTTCTCACAAACGTGTTTTGTGTGGGCTGTTGCGTGCGCTTGAACAGATGCATGCCATGCACTCTGTGGAGGATATTCCGGCATCCGAGGCCGCACCACCAACGGCAGACCCGGTACGCCACTGCCTGTGGTTCCTCATGTGTGCATCCGTTTTGTCCTGGGTAGGCAGCAACCCACACCATAAACACACACACACACACATTTGCGCACTCACTCGCTGTCACACCCACTCACTCGCTGTCACACACACACACACACACACACACACACGCTCACCCCTGCAACGACAGTATTGGAAGGAAGGGGCCGAGTCACAGACAAGCAGCGAGCAGCCAGAGTGGCTGCGGCGAAGAGAGGAAGCAGATCCATATGTCCAGGACGACACTCGCCCTGCGCTCACTGTCGGCACAAAGAGCCTACCCAAACGACACTGGCGCTGAAATTCATCCGTCACATGCAAACGGAACAACATGTGTTCTGCTAGGTTTTGCTGTATGAGTGTGCGTGTGTGTGTGTGTGTGTGTGTGTGTGTGTGTGTGGCGTGAAGAGGGAGTGTGCGCTGCATTCACAGTCATGTAGAGGTCATTTCCATCCCCGCCGCCCGGTGCACGTCAGCCGCCACCTCCTATCACCAACCATCCCATCCATCCCAAACCACACAACACCGCTTGGACGAAATTTATGGGAAATTTCGAATAAAATTCCTGGTTCGGGCAAGATCGTTCGAGCTTCAAGGCAGCGTCCCCTCCTCGTCAAGCAAAACTGGCCGTTGGCACGCCACAAGCGCACCCACCCACCTCTCTGCACACACACACCACCCATTGTTTCCACCCATCCCACGCGGCACGAAGAAGTGAAGCAAGCAACTAACGCCACCGCCAGCACCCACCAACACCAAAACAGCAGCGACAACAACAAACACACGTGCCACACCTGCCTGAGCTTGTGTGTGCGCGCGTGTGTGTCTGCATCTGTTGATCTGTGTGTTTGTCGATTCCCTCCCACAACAGCAAACTAGCCATCACACAACAACAAACTAGCCATCACACAACCAATCCACAGCACACTACACAGCAACAACAACAACAGCAAGAGACTGCTTGTGCCTGCAGGCACTGGTCTTGCGCTCACCCGTCCACTATCCTCTGTTCTACCCGCTCACGTGAAAGTCCACTGCGAGGCTGCAACTGCGCACAGCAGTCGCCACCGGATTGCGGCATTTGCTTGCAAGCAAACAAAACAACACAGCAAGCGCCCATACAACACACACATGATGCGCGTCGCAAGAGCGCTAGCTGCAGCGCTGTTGCTGCTGCTTGGCGTGCTCGCGTCGCTCTCCAGCCCATCACACGCCCAATCAATACGTGAGTCGTCCCCTTTCGTTGTGTTCCTGCATGTGCGCGCAGCCTTCGTCATTGCTACTACACCTCCTGTCATCCGTCACCTTGAATGTACTATCATCGCCATCAACATCAACATCAACGCCAACGTTGTCTTGTCTTGTCATGTCATGTCACAACACAATCTCACCTTCGCGTGATAGCCAGCATGTCAGCCACTGCTCCGCCTCTCCACACTGTCATGACCTACACGTTGTTTTTGCTCCCTCCGCTGGCACGCATGGCTCATCAACACTCACAAGTTCATGCATGGCCCCTTTTCCTAATACACCCGCTCATACACACACACACACACACACACACACACACACATGCACATGCACGCACGCGCGCGCAACGCTGCAGTTAACAATCCGTCCTTTGAGGGCGGTGGCCCAGTTGCCAGCCTGAGATTGAGCATCCCTGATTGGGCGGTGGACGGCTTGGGCGGATATTACACACCATCCACGGCCCACTACCCCGCATCCTCCTTCATGGTTGACGCAAGCTCGGGCCAAACTGTGCTGGCATCCCCTGCAGACGGCACAAACGTCGCTGTCATCATGACGGGCGCAGAGCTCAGCCAGGAAGTGGTGTGGAGCCCTGGCCAAGGCACTGGGCCAACCCCCGACTACTACGTGGACTTCCAGTGCGCCGTGGGCCTCAAACTTGGGTCTCTCGAGACAGGCACCATGCATGTGCGCGTCTTTGCCGTGCAGGGCAGTGGTGGCGGTGCGGAGGACATGCTTATCGCAGAGGCATCCCTCCAGCCCGCGCTCTCCACAGCGGGTCAGTTCCAGACCTTGGCCGTTTCAGGCTTCCTGGCAGCCGACGTCGCGAACACCACCACAGCTATCCGCTTCACTGCAACGCACACGTCGGAGAGCGCCTTGTCACAGCTGGACGCTGACAACATCCGCCTCACCCTCACCGCCGTTCCCGACACTGGTGATGTGAGCGATGCCCTGGACCAGTGGAACACGGCTGCTGGCCCGTGCTTCTACCCGTTCTGTGTCCCCACGTTTGATGATGCCAGCGAAGTGCTGCTCTTCACGGCCGGCAACGTCCTCTCCGCAGACACCACTGACATCAACAACGACGGCCTTGTGGACGTGGTCATTGGCGTCGGGCAGACCAAGCACGTGGTGTTACACCAGGGTCTGGGCGGCCGCCGCTTTGCCGCCCGCATCATGGGCACCACCCGCGGCGTGCCATCGCAGGTCATCTTCGCCCACATCGACAACAACGCATACGCAGACGTGCTTGTGGCCATGCATGACATTGGGCGCATCACGTGGTTCCGCTCGCGCATCGACGGCTTCTCGTTCTCCTTCCAGGAGCGGTTCGTGGCGGACATCCCGGGCCTCACCGCCTTCACCGCTGGCGATGTTGATGGTGACGGCGCGCCAGATGTGGTCGCTTTGGCACAGGGCACCCTGTACTGGCTGCGAAACCGCCGGGCCGACCCGCAGTTTGAACCCGCCCGCGTGCTCGCGGCGCAGGCACAGGTCCTCTCGCCCATCACCGACATCAGCAGCGTGCGCGTGCCTGGCGCTGCCACAGCGCACGTGGCCGCAGCGACGAGCCGAGGTGACGTGTTCCTGCTCGTTGGCGGATCCTCCCTCCTCTCCATGCCAGCGTCTGTTGTCCCCGTCATCAGCAGCGCCAACTCCGGCGACGTGGCCGAGTCCCCGCCGCTCTCGGCGCCATTGCTGCTGAGTGTGGTTGCGTCGCCGACGGCAGTGTACCTGGCTGTGTGCTCCCCCGCAACAGCACGCACGCGCCTGTTCAAGATCACGGAAGAGGGTGCACTGCGCACGGTCACGCCTCGTCGCGACTGGGTGCTGCCGCTCGCCGGCTTCCGCCCAAGCATCATCCAGCTCGCCTTCAAGGGCGAACGTGCTGCAAGCGCCAGCAGCGGCGACAGCCTTGACGCCAGCGATGACCTCGTTTCGTTGTCAGCCGTCGTGGGCGAGCACGCAGTCGTGACGTGGTTTGACGTGCTGCGCACCACAGGCGAGCCACCGTCAACGGCATTTGCACTGGACATGCAGCAGGCCATATCCACCGTGCTGCTGCGCGATGTGGATGGAGATGGGCAGCTTGACGCGGTGCTTGCCGCCGACAGGGACTTTGGGCCCTCTGTCCGCTTTGGTGACTGCTGCACGGCCGATTCCCTGCTTGCCTTCTCCTACAACACCACCAACCCGTCCTTCGAGCTGCAGCCCTCCTCGCCTCTCGGTCCGCCACCCTTCTGGCTCACCACGGGCACTGTGAGCACCGTTACCTTTGATGGCCCCGCCTCCGGCTACGCCCGCACGTCGACCCCTGTCGGCGACAGCAGCATCCTCCTGCCGTACCCGGCGCACGGGAGTGCGTTTGTGCGCCTCGAATTGCTGGGTATTCTCGAGCAGACCCTGGAGGGGCTGGTCATCGCCGACAGCACCGCCTATGCGCTGACGGTGGCCGTGGGCTGGCCGCTGCAGGCCACATCCGTTCCCACCGTCATTGTTGAGCTCGTCACCGCAGACACGCGCCAGCCGCTGTGCTCGGTCACCTACAACCAGGCGGACCTGCCAACGGGGCCGGGCGAGTGGGTGGACGTGCTCTGTGTCGGCAGTATCAGCACCGCCTCTGTATCCGATTCGTCCACCCTCATCGGACAGCCCCTCATGCTCAGCATCATCGGCGTTGGCGTGGGCACCGTGGATGTCGATAACGTGCGCGTCTCCGCTCACACGGAAGACTTTCTCTCGCTGGTTGGATCAGGGCCTTTCTTCGGCCACCGCTCAAGCGCACCGGAAGGGCCCTTCACAACAGCAGCGCCCACGACGACCACCACCACCACAACTACCACTGCTGCTGCCGGTGGCTCGTCCTCAACGACCACCACCACTGGTGCAGGTGGGCCGGGGACAACCACGTCCGCTGGTGCAACCACATCAACGACGACGACCACCACGACCACCACCACGACACGGGGGCCGCCGCGGTTCAAGCGCATCTCTGTTGGCAACAACGATTTTGAGTCGCCTGTGGTGTCACTGGGCAGCTGGGACGCGTCGGCCACAGATTGGGCGCTGCGCGGGCCAGCCGGTGTGTACCGCCCCACCATCATCCAGTTCCGCCAGCATGATGCAGAGGCGTGGGGTGCGCAGACGCTGTTCCTCGGGCCAAAGGCGCGTGCATCGCACGTGCTCCCCGGTGTTCAGATTGACCCCGCATACGACTACCAGCTGCGCTTCATGCTTGCCTGGCGGCTGGACTTCCGCCAGTTCCCCACGCTGCAGATCTCGCTGCGCGACGGCGGCAACAACGTTGCTGTGGCCCGGACTATCACGGCAGTCGACATGACCCTGCTTGGGCCCATTGGCCGCTTCTACCCCATCACCCTGAACCTGTCGCCTGCACAGGGGTTTGTTCCGGGCATTGAGATTGTGTTTGCGGTGGTGAGCGGCGTGGGTCAGGCCAACATCGACCACGTGGTGCTGCTGCGCGGGGAGAAGGGCGAAAGCTTTGACGAGTACATGTCAACCACCACCCTGTCCACCACCACCACCACCACAACCACCACCACCACAACGACGTCGTCATTCACGACCGTGTCCAGCACCAGCACCAGCACCAGCACCACGAGCAGCACAAGCTCAAGCTCAAGCTCAAGCACCAGCACAAGCTCAAGCACAAGCACGTCTTCGTCGTCTTCCACATCATCGTCCTCATCCACATCCAGCAGCACCACGACAGACTTCTTTGGCCGTGGGCACGAGGCCTGGTATGAATTTGGGTCGAAGCTCTTCCGCGTGTTCCCGTCCAAGGCGCAGTTTCAACAGGCAGAAGTGTCCTGCTTGCTCAGCGGAGGTGTGCTGGCTGTTGTTTCCGCACCGGAGGAGCTTGACTTCCTGCTTGACCTTGCCCTTCACGTGACACGAAACCGTGAGCTGTGGGTTGGCGCGCGCTTCAGCGCTGACGCCGGGCTGCGGTGGGTGCTGCAGAATGGCCTCTCAGCCGACCAACTGCCCTTCGAAGGTGCTCTGCCATCGTCGTTTGATGGCGACAAATGCTTGCTCTTCAACTCGAGAGACAGGCGCGGCAACGTGCAGGGCGAGCTGTCGGTTGTGGAGTGTGACGCCTACCGCGGTTACATTTGCCAGCAATCGCTGCCCACGACAAGCACCACCATCACCACGACCACGACAACGACCACGACAACGGCAACCACAACGACAACAACGACAACAAGCACAACAACGACGACCACGGCGACGACCACCACCACCACTACCACTACCACAACAACAACAACAACAACAACAACAACAACAACAACAACAACAACAACAACAACAACAACAACACGCCCGAGCAATGTGTGCACGCCCTCATTCACTTTTGTGTTTGATGCAAACTCGCTGGGTGCACCAGATGTTGTGACAACGCCAGGGCGGAGTGAGTGGACGCCTGTGGACCTTCCTGGCGGATACAACGATGATGCGTTGCAGCATGACGTGCCCGCACAGGTGGAGTTCTTCACAGAGTCGCTGCCGTTTGGCCTCTACCGCATCTTCCTTCACGATATGATTGGCCCCGAAGGCACACGCTCGCTGGCCATTGATATGACGCACTCACATGGCGTGGACCAGCTTCTTTCCAGCCAGGTGGGGGACAGCACGGAACGCAGGCGCATTGAGCTTACGCTTGACCCCGTGTTCCTCTCGGCACGGCCATCCCAGGGTGTGCGGCTGGCAGCATCCAACATGGGCACCTTCACCATTGACGCCATTGAATTTGTCCTGTGCCAGGAGTTCCCGTCCACCACAACCACCTCTGGAGCAACCACAACCACAACCTCCACCACCTCAACCACGACCACCACCACTACCACGACGACAACAACCACAACAACAACCACAACAACAACAACAACCACAACCACAACAACAACCACAACCACAACATCCTTCATGTGCTTCCCGTCCACACGCACATTCTTGGATGCAAACGCCGATGGGGCGCCGCTCGTCGTGACTTCGCCATCATCCATTTTCTGGTCCAACATCGCACTGGCCGGTGCACACAATGACGACGCGTTGCAGCGGGTTGTTCCGTCGCAAGTTGACTTCTCCGCAGAGCAGCTGACGCCCGGCTTCTACCGCGTGTACCTGCATGACTTGATTGGACCCGATGGCGTGACGTTCCTGTCCATCACACTGAACCATGCTGGTGGCTCAGAGCAGTTCATCTCCAGCCAAGTGTGGGATGAGCAGGAGCTGCGAATGATTGAGCTCACGTTTGACCCCGTGGCGTTTACCGGTGATGCTGGCCAGGGTGTGCGGCTGGAGGCATCAAACATGGGCCTGTTCACCATCGACGCAATCGAATTCGTGCTGTGCGGGAACACACCGCCGCCATCGTCATCCACGGTTACAGGCACAACTGGTAGTACAACTACAACTACACCAACCACGAGCAGGACTACAGCCACAACCACAACCACAAGTACTACAACGACGACAACAACAGCAACAACAACAACAACGTCAGCTGTGTCAACGAGCACAACAACGACGGCTGTGGGCCCACTGCCTGCTGTGCGCATCAACTGCGCCGGTTCGGCATATCTTGATCTGCAGACGGGCCAGCTGTGGCAGGCAGATGCTTACAAGGTGACTGGGCGCGATGTGTCTGAGGGCAACCGCCCCATTTCCGACACCGACCTCGACACCCTCTTCTTCACGGGCTCACGTGGCCGCCGCTCCACCAACAGCGTGGAGTACAGGGTACCGGTACCTGCTGGGTTTGAGTACCGCGTGCTCATCTTGGTGGCCGAGTCGTGCACGGCATGCTCGCGCGTGTTTGATGTTGAGATCAACGGGCTTCCCTATGAGTTTGGCGTGGACGTGCTGAATGAGGTTGGCCCCGACAGGGCGCTGGTGCTGGAGTACCCGAACGTGCGCCGCCGCAACGGGAACATTCGCGTCGCGCTCGTGCAACGGGATGTGGACGGCGAGCAGCCCATCATCAATGCGCTGGCAATCGAAGCCGTGACACGCATCTCAAGCGACACAACCACCTCCACCAGCTCTGCCTTCAGCACCATCTCCAGCACCTCCACCTCAACCGCAAGTACAACGACAACGACGACGACAACCACAACCACAACCACAACAACCACAACCACAACGACTACAACGACTACGACCACGGTTACAACGACGACGACCACCACCATTACAACCACGACGACCACCACCACTACAACCACCACCACGACAACAACGACGACAACATCGCCCGAGTTGACTGGTGCCGAGGATCTGTACTTGATCAACGCCGGTGCAGGTGACACGTACACAGATTCTCGTGGGTTGGTGTGGCAGCCAGATGAGGGCTTCTACACAAACGGGGCGCGGTTCCAGTTTGAGACACCCATTGCCAACACCATTGAGGACACACTGTATTACACAGAGCGTGCTGGCGTGGATGGTTATCTTCGATATGACTTTCCTGTGACACCGGGCCGCACATACACGCTGGTGCTGCTGTTTGCGGACATTTGCCCCTGCACGAACGGCGTTGGCGCGCGTGTGTTTGACATTTCGATCGAGTCGACCGTGGTGCAGGCAGACTTGGACCTCGTGGCCACGGCTGGCTGGGCCACCGCGTATACGCGCGTGTTTGAGACCTTTGTGGCCGATAACACACTCACGGTTGAGTTTACTGCCTCGGTCGAAAATCCAAAGCTGAGTGCCATTCGCATTCGCGGCGATCCCCTTGATCTCACCACTGCAGCCTCAACAACAACAACAACAACAACAACAACAACAACAACAACAACAACAACAACAACAACAACAACAACAACAACAACAACAACAACAACAACAACAACAACAACAACAACAACAACAACAACAACAACAACAACAACAACAACAACAACAACGACGACGTCGACACTGACAACCACAACTACGAAGACGGGCACGTCGTTCTGCTTGTCTGGGTTTGACTTGAGCCAGGGTGGGTCTTGTGACTGTGGTGACACGTGTGAGTCGTGCCAGGTGAATTGGGACGAAGACGCCGTCACCTGTGTCGTCTGTTTTGGCGGCTACTACCTGTACGAGGGCACGTGTGTGGAGTCGTGTCCATCCGGCTATGAGGAGATGGACGATGACGTGAACGGTGGCACGTGCGAGCCCATCACCAGCCCATCGTCGTCCAGCTCCACATCCACCTCCACATCATCCTCATCTTCATCCTCCTCGTCATCCTCCTCCTCCACATCAACGTCGACGTCTGTCGTAACAACTACGCTTGCCTCGCGTTCCTCTTCCTCTTCGACATCCACATCTACCTCGACGTCGTTCTCCTCCTCGACCTCGTTCTCCTCATCATCATCCACCTCGACGTCATCATCGTCCTCATCCTCGTCATCCACGTCCTCATCCTCGTCCACGTCGACCACAACGACACCAGGTTCGCCAACACAAGTGCCGTCAACAACACAGTTCCTCGAAGACACAACGGCGGATGTGGTGGACTTCTCAACAACCGACGACGTGCTTGCGTCCTTTTCTTCTTCGTCGTCCACTTCCTCGTCGACCTCGACCTCGACCTCGACCTCCTCCTCCTCCTCATCATCGTCGTCGTCGTCGTCCTCGTCCTCCACGTCATCATCCACATCTACCACAGCTGCTGTCACACAGAGCGGGTCCTGCACGCCCGATTGCGTGTCGTCGTTCACACCTGATGATGGCACCACGATTGCGCCAAGCGGGTATCGCACGCGGGCAATTGACGTGAACCACGACGACATGGTTGATGTTGTTGTGACGGAGGAGGGCTCGGGTCGCGTGTCTGTGTACACGCAAGCGGCGAACGGCGACTTTTCGCTGTATTTCACCACTGACGCCGTTGCTGGTGCGCGCGGCGTCGCCGTGGCAGACCTGGACGGTGACGGCTACGATGATGTTGTTGCTGGCGGCACGGACACGCTGATCCTGCTGACAAACCTTGCTGGGAGCGCCGGGGATGGCGGCCGCGGTTTCAATGCCACAGTCATCCCGGCTGTCGTCGCTGGCGTGCATGAGGTGCTGCTGGTGGACGTGACCGGTGATGGCCAGCCGGATATTGTTGCGTCGGAGCGCACGGCGGACCGCGTCGTGCTGTTTGCGACGCAGCGAGCCAGTGGCGCTGGCGGTGTTGTTGTGGGCGAGCCCGTGCGGATGACGGGCATCAGTGCGCCGCTTGGCATTGCGGCTGGCGACGTGACGGGCGACGCCAGCGTCGACATTGTGGCTGCAGCGCGTGACTCTGGCGCGATTGTCGTGCTCACGTCCCCGACAGGCAACCTCATCGCAGACACACAGCGCTTCACCGCGTTCTCCGTGGCTGGGCGGGCCCGCGATGTCGAGGTTGTTGATGTTGATGGCGATGGCGTGAACGAGATTGCGGTTGCTGACTCCGACAGCAACGTCGTCGTTGTTGGCAGACGCACCGGGGTGAGCGGCGGCGTGCCGACGTTTGAGATGGGCACGGTTGCGAGCGGCCTGGCTGGGCCGTTTACGGTGATTGCTGGTGACTACAACGGCGATTGCCGCCCGGACATTCTCGTGGCTGAGCGCTCGGGCAGCCAGGTCACGCTGCTGACCAACACGGGCGTTGATGGTGACACGGGTCTGCCTGTCTTCACGTCCTTGACTGTGCTCACTGGTGTGAGTGGAGCAACGGGTGTTGCTTTTATTGACACGAACGGCGATGGCTGGCTCGACATTGTTGGCTCTTCCGATTCAAGCGGCGTTGTTGCCCTCCCCGCAAACTGCCAGTGATAGTGTGGGGCGTGTGTGTGTGTGTGTGTGTGTGTGTGTGTGTGTGTGTGTGTGTGTGTGTGTGTGTGTGTGTGTGTGTGTGTGTGTGTGTGTGGTTGGTTGCCTTTGCTCTGTTTGCACGTGAGAGAAGGGCAGGTGTGTTGTGTTTGATTCCATTTTGTGCTGCTGTTCTCTTGCCACAGTTACTCTTAGCTGCTCACTCCCTTGGCGTTGGTGCTGAGGTTGTATTGGTACGAGAATACTCCAGATGACATGCAATGTACATGCAATAAGTCTAAAGCAAGAGAACAAAGGATGTAGGTCGTGACGTCATACGTACGTCACATCACCAGAATGAACGGACCAACACCAACACACCCCCTCAACCTCCGCACCCAACGCTGTCGCCCTTTTCGCAGACACGGAAAGCAGACTCTTGTTGCTGCGTAGGGGTAGTTGTCTCTCTTGGCTTGAAGTGGTTGTTTCGTCTGCCTGCCATGTCAGGAGGCTGTTGTTGAAAGCTGTTGAGGAAAGCTGTTACGGCAGTGTCCTGCATCTCAGGCGCCAATGAAAACTTGTGTAGAAAGCGATGCACCAACTTCTGGTATGTGTTGAAGTCGTGCTGTGTTCAGTACCCCCACACCCCCTCAAGGCTTGCTCAGCACCTGCCTCCTGCAGGTGTCAAGGGCGACTCTGGGCAGTGCCTTGGTGAACATGTCAGCCAGCAGAGTGCTACCAGGTTGATACTGCAGCTTGATGGCGCGTTCTGCAACTAAGTCCCTCAGGATATGAAATCGCAGATGAATGTGTTTGCTGCTGACGTTGCTGCTGTTGTTGTTTGCAATGGCAATTGCCGGCTGGTTGTCCGTGTAAATGGTTGTGACGCCGGGGTCTTCACCCAGCTCCTTCAGGAGTTGTCTTAGAAACACTGCTCTTTGCGCAGCTGTGGCAATGCTGACGTATTCTGTCTCTGCTGTCGACGCCGTGACAAGAGGGAGTTGCTTGGATGACCAAGATACTGGTCCTCCGCCCAGGGTGAAGCAGAAGCCGCCATGGCCTTTTGAGGTGACAGGGCATGTGTTGTGACTGGCGTCTGCAAATCCTGTCAGCTGTTGCTGGTGTTGCGGTTGTTGTGGTTGTTGCCGTCGATAAACGATGCAGAGGTCAGGCTGTCCCTTGAGATATTTGAGCACGTGTCTGGCAGCGTGTAGGTGTTGTTTCGTTGGCGCTGCCATCTGTTTGGCAAGTACTGACGTCGCATACCGGATATCTGGCCTCGTCATGACTGCCAGATACATGAGGCTTCCGACGAGCCGCTGGTATTCCCCTACGTCCGTGTCCGGTGCTGTTGCTGTGTGAAGCCTTCCTTTTGGAGGTAGCGGGGTGGCCTTGTGTTTGCAGTCCTGTAGTCCATGTTCTTGGAGAAGGCCTCTTAGGTACCGCTCTTGGCTGATCCTCAGCCCGTTTGTGGTGCGGTGAAGGTCCATGCCCAGGTAGGAGGTAGGCTCCCCGAGGTTTTTCACCTTCAGATGCCTGCCGAGCTTGGTGCTGATCTCGTGAATGCGTCCCTGGCTGTCTGCTGCTACGATGAAGTCATCCACGTGGACACACACGATAGCTGTTGCGGAGACAAACACACATGCGTCTGATTTGACTGCGAGGAGCCCAAGCGCTTGCAGCTCCTTGCTCAAATGCTGGTGCCATAGTCGGGGTGCTTGGCGAAGGCCGTAGAGCGACCTTTTGAGGTGCAGCACTGCACTGCCTGGGAGGTTGGCCGCTGCCGGTGGCCTGACATAGATGTTGTGGTCATCGATCGGCGCATGAAGAAAAGCCGCCTTCACGTCAAATTGACATAGTTGCCACCCCCTCATCACAGCCACCGCCAGCGTTGTTCTCAGTGCATCCGCATGTGCTGTGGGCGCGAACACTTCCCCCAGCGTCGACGAATGCTGTCGATTGCCGCAACATACCATCCTCACCTTATACCTCACTTCTCCATCTTGCTGATGCTTCACCGAGAGTACAAGCGTGCTCGGCAGAACCTTCGTCTTCATCGGCATGTCTCTGGCTTCGACCACATCAAACACGTCAAATGTGGTCATGTTGGTCCATTCCTCCGAGAATGCCTCCATCCACTTCTGCCTGTCATCACTCTCCATTGCCTCCCCCCACGTTTTTGGTGTAACCCGGTCTGTCACATTCGCCGTCAGACACATCTTCACCACTGTCTTTCGGGATCTGCTGGATCGCCTCAGCGGCTGTTTCGTGTTTGCTGTGGTCGAGGAGGCTGCTGATGTTTGGAGTTCATGTGTGATCTCGTGTTCAGGTGCCACAGTCGGCATCAGGTGATCCTCTGATGGTTCGTTTTCACCCGTGTGTTCGCCGCTGTGGTTGTCGTAGGCCGCCTGTTGCTCTGCCTCGACGTGTCCACCATTTTGGTTGTTGTGGGCCGCATGTTGCTCTGCCTCGACGTGTCCACTGTTGTGGTCGTCGTAGGCCGCATGTTGCTCTGCCCCGACGTGTCCACTGTTGTGGTCGTCGTAGGCCGCATGTTGCTCTGCCTCGACGTGTCCACTGTTGTGGTCGTCGTAGGCCGCATGTTGCTCTGCCTCGACGTGTGCACTGCTGTGGTTGTTGTGGGCCGCATGTTGCTCTGCCTCGCTGCTGTGGTCGTCGTAGGCCGCCTGTTGCTCTGCCTCGACGTGTCCACCATTTTGGTTGTTGTGGGCCGCATGTTGCTCTGCCTCGACGTGTCCACTGTTGTGGTCGTCGTAGGCCGCATGTTGCTCTGCCCCGACTTGTGCACTGTTGTGGTTGTTGTGGGCCGCATGTTGCTCTGCCTCGACGTGTCCACTGTTGTGGTCGTCGTAGGCCGCATGTTGCTCTGTCCCGACGTGTCCACTGTTGTGGTCGTCGTAGGCCACAGGCTGCTGTTGTTGTGCTGTGACGCGTCCGCCGAAGACCGTGCGATGCGCTGCTTTAATATGTTCACCGTCAGTTTTCGTTTCAGCCGTTTGCTGTTGTTGCTGTTCTGCCTGTGCTCGCTCAACGAAGTCAACATTGATTCCTGCCCGCACTCTCCCCGTGGCTTGGACAAACACACGGTGCCCGTTGCAAGACTGATCCAGCCCGAGGTAGAATCCCCAGAGTCCTCGCGGGGGCAATGGCGACTCGCTGGTTTGAGTCTCATCATAGATGACACAGCGGCAACCGAACACTTTCAGCATCTGAAGAGGTGGTTGTTTCCCCAGCAGGGCTGTGTATGGCGTCGTATGGTCCGTGCCGGTGTGTGGCATGCAGTTGTAGATTGTGGTCGCGTGTTGAATAGCCGCAATGGTGAACCGGCCTCGCTGTTGTGGTGGAATCGCCGACGTTCCTAGGATGGCCGCAGCTGTTTCTTTGATCGTCCTCCAGTTCCTTTCTGCCACTCCATTGTGCTGATGCGTGTAGGGTGGCGAGTAGCGCAAACCAATCCCGAGCCTTGTCGCTGTTGTCGCAAATCTTTGAGACTTGAACACTGGATCGTAGTCAAGCTGCATCAGCGTGCCTCTTTGAACTGGGATAGCTGTAGTCGCAACGAACTGCGCAAGCGTTGCTGCTGCGTCGGACTTCTTCTTCATCGCGATTCCCTCAGCATACCTGGATCTTTCATCCACAAACAGCATCACGTACGCGTATCCCTGGTGGCATCCTTGGTATGGGCCCAGGATATCCGCATGGATTCGATCGCCAGGTTCCAGATGATGTGGCTGTGACTTCTTCTTCACCGGCTTCCGGTGCGTCTTGTAGGGTAGGCAGTCCGTGCAGTCAGGTTCGTCTGTCGTGGTCTGTATGCCGTTCCCGCTTAGCACTCGTTTCACATCCTGCCACGCACGGTGACCGAGCCGCCTATGCCATGTCTCCAAGGGCGTGATGGCCATGCATCGCTGAGTTGGTTGGCCAGGTCGGTGTGGCTTGGCACGCAAGTAGTATGTTGCCCCATTCTTTGCCAGCTCCATCGTCATGTGCTCATCGCTCAGACTGGGGTGCTCGGGATGCAGAGTCACTGTCATGCCTGCTTCCACAAGTCGTCCTGCAGAAAGTATGTTGAA